GATTGGATCATCCTCTAAGTGGATAAATAACATACAAACAAAATTAAGTGGTGAATTTGACATGAAAGACCTAGGTAAGGCTAAGAGAATTTTAGGTATTGAAATTGAAAGAGATAGGTCAAATTCTGTTTTGTTTTTGCATCAGTCTCCATATATATCCAAAGTATTGAAGAAGTTCAATATGAGTGAATGCAAACCTGTCACGTTGCCCCTTGCTAATCATTTTGTTCTATCTAAAGAACAATCTCCTTGCAATGAGCGTGAAGTTGAATACATGAGTAGAGTACCTTACTCAAATGTGATTGGTTCCATAATGTATTTGATGGTTTGCACTAAACCTGATTTAGGTTTTGCTGTTAGTACTCTCAGTAGATATATGGCTAATCCGGGACCTGAACATTGGGAAGCGCTAAAGTGGCTGTTAAAGTACTTGAAGGGTACTAGTAACGTAGGCTTAAAGTTTAGTGCTAATAGAGAAGGCATAAAATTAAAAGGTTTTGTAGATGCTGACTATGCGGGTGATAGGGACGGTAGGAAATCTACTTCATCTTACGTGTTTACCTTATCTAATTCATGTGTAAGTTGGAAATCACATTTACAACATATTGTTGCATTATCCACTACAGAATCAGAATATATTGCCACCACTGAAGCTATTAAAGAAGCTCTATGGCTTAGAGCTCTACTTCATGAATTATGTGTTCTGAATGATTATGTGGTAGTGTATTCCGATAGTCAGTCATCCATACATTTATGCAAAAACCCTGTTTTTCACGAGCACACTAAACACATTGATGTAAGACTCCACTTCATTAGAGATATAGTATCTCAAGAGGTGGTAAGACTTGAGAAAGTTCATACCCACTATAACCCATCTGATATGGGGACGACGGTACTGCCACTGGCAAAGTTTAGGAGTTGCAAGGAACTTCTAAACATTAGTACAGGTAAATGATTTCCAATTTTATTGTTTTTATTAGAGGTGTCACTAATGGGAAACAATTTTTTTTGCAGGTCCTTTGACACCAAGGTGGAGGTTGTTAGGCAATTTTGTTGTCAAACGACCTTCCCGGGCGATGATGTAACCTCGGTTGTTTATTATCAATCGGCCTCGGCCTAATGATTGATTAGCACATCGACACAATTAACGAGACGACACAATCCATTTTGTTATGGACCGTTCGAAGTAACCTATTTTATAGTATTGCTCACGGTTCTCGCACCATTCCTTGGAAGGCTATAATATTATTGTTGAGGCCCAATTATTTGAGTCGAGCCTTTGATCCACCACTTAGCCCTAATTGTAACTTACCTTGTTTGGACAATACTCTTGGCATATATTCCTCTCAACCTCTCGGCCTCCATTCAGAGTGAAAAACCCTCTTTGTGAGCTTCTCTCTCTCGGCCGTTTCTTCCCTCCCTCTCTGTGACCTTTGTGGTTGATATATTGTGGGTATTTTCTTGGCCTTCTTCTTCCCATATCCATAGCAACCGGACCGTGGTGGCACAAGGTGGTATTGGAGTTGTCTCAAGAAATGGTGTCGATGTTTTTGGTAAACTGAGCCCGGTTTTGCACTGCTTGGCTGTGGAATTCGGTCCTACAATGGCTATGAGAAACAAGAGTATTGGTGATAATATCTCATCAAATTACAGTTGACAGAGACTGAAGTAAAAAGTGGAGGAGATTGACGTTTGCATTATTATCTTTAAAGTTTTGTTTAGGCTCGTAAATAGATTAAGAAAGCTTCACAAAAGTATGCAAGAAATATCAAGGGGAAAAACTGAAATATGTTTTTAAGTCTTTTGGGTGCAGAAGTGATTTTTTTTTTTTTTTTTTTTTTTCAGTTTGATAGCCTTGGGTGTCTATGTTCTTTAAAGAATCAGTTTTGTTGGATTTAGACTTACCATGTATATATGCGTGCATATTAGCTTTTGACCCAATTTCAGCATCTAATTGAAAACCAAATTAAAATACAATTAATAGTTGACTCACAAAGCTAAAAAAAAAACTTCAAAATAGCATAGGCATGCTTCACTTCTGTTTCGATCGAGCAAAATTGGGGTGGAGAATGGAGTTAAATCTTGTCCTCAACCGGTTTCCTTGTGAAAATTACTTTTGTTTCCTCTCCACTTTTCTAGTTGTTGAGAATTAGAGATTGTGTATTACTGAATACTATTGAGATGCATCCATAGGTAAATAAAACAATCAATTAATCTATTTGTACAATGACTTTGTACAACATTGTTGACAATGATGGGTGTAGCAAAAAAGTATTGATTGAAAAGATTGGTTAGTTTTCAAACTGTTCAATGATAACATGTCATGTGGTATTGTTAACAATGTTGTCAAATCCATTGTACATGAAGCATTGCTCAAGTTTATCAGTTTCATCCTACAGAAACATGAAGGTGACACTTGTTGGCATATAAGTTATTCTTTCCCCTGGCCTAACTAGGATTTCAAGTACTAAACCTACCTTAGAATTCGTAGCCCTTGACAGGGACTTCATGCAAATTGGAGGTTTCACCCCGACTAGAGCAAGTATACTGCTAGGCAAAGTCCACATCCCATCACCACAAATCAAACCAGAAGCTACGACAGGCCAAAGGCATCTGCATCGGCTTTGTTTTTCTTCTGCCATACATAGAGTATGAGGCTTCCAACACACATATCAATAGCAATCTATGAACCCAAAAAAATGGTACTGCCATTGCAATTGGAAATGGAATAAACCATGAATGTTTCTTGTCCAAAGCATCTCTGGTTAAGTTGATGAGAATGGACACAGCAAAAAATCCATAACATAGCTTGAGGCAAGCTTTTGGCAGAGCTGAGAAGCCTTAAACCCCTAGTTTAGCTCTATTATAGTAAATTGTAGCAAAGGGAGCAGGATATTCACTTGTAAGAATCCCGAGATCAGAAAAAGCTTTGTAGAAAATCCAAAAGACACAAGGAAAGATAACACATCCCATTGCACTCCCGATCATATGGCTGACAAATATTGAACAAGGCGAAGCCAAGTTCAAGTATCCGGTCTTGAAATCTTGCATGATGTAAGACGCAGTGGAAGTTATTGTAGAGGAAATCTCTCGATAAATCTTGATTTCGGGCTCAGAAAATAATCAAACGAACACCGGTTTACCTCGGCTCGACCAGAGACTTTCGCCTTCACTTTGGATTACCCAAACTCTCTCAAACCCCACAAATGAGAAGGGTGGTGGTGTTAGCAATCCACAAAGGTATGGAGAGGAAAAGAAGATGTCACAATGGTTGAATCTCACTCACAACCTCACATGGCTTCCCTCTCTTTCGGTTGCCTCTCTTCTCTCAATTCTCCTCTCCATTGCTACAACACACACACACCATCACAAAAAAGGCTGGGAGATAAATACATATATATAGGTTAGTTTAGGTCACTCTAATTGGGCCTAGGGTTCACTAAGTGGGCTACCAATTAACCTAAACTAATGGGTCAATATTCAACTCCATATTAATCACTAAATGGTCTAAATAACCAAATAATCATCCAACCTAAACCCGAATCATCCAAAAGTGTAGTTCATCTCCGAGCCGAGCCAAGTCCATGGTGTCGATAAATAATCCGACAACTGTTTTAAATTATCATTCGAATTATTGGGTATCAAAAACTCAACAATTATATTCATCATCATTCCACATGCTGCTAGACCAGCAAGAATTCTACCATGTGATGCCCCCGCCCATGCCCCAATTGTAAAGATGGCTAGTTGTCCGTAAAGATTTGCGAATGAGAAATCGGAGAGCTCAGTCCCATACGCATTACAGAAGGCCAAGCTTGGTGAAA